TCGCTCAATTATTGATTATGATAGTTTTATATATTTTCCGATCAGAGAAGAACTGAGTAGTAAACTTGAAAAGATTCAATATGCTGATATTCGCTTGGCCCTGGGCTATCGAAAAACCACACCTACAAATGTCTTTTTTGCAGAATCAAAATCGCCGTTAATCAAAGAAAGAGCCAGATTCCTATGTTATTCCTTTCTATCCAAAGTATTGACCAATGAAAAAAAGCGCAGACGACTTTTCATAACCCGCGCGCGATTCGACTTCATGTAACAAGCGGACCTCGTTACATGATATATAAAGGAAAATTATTATTTACACGAAATATAGGAATTATAAAATAAAAAAATTACTGTCATTTATAACTATTATATTTGGTAATTTTACATACGGTGACTAATAGATAATTTTTATCGGTATTTTATTATTATTGTAGTATGTTAAAATGAGTACAATTCCTAAAAAAACCTTTAACAAAGTGAATAGCAACATGAATGCTTTATTAACTCATTAAGGCCCATGCCAAAACAGTACGAAATCGCGCTAAACTAACTATACCATTCAAAGCATAAGTGAAAAAAAAAGGTACCCGTGTTTTTTCTTTTGCCATTTGCAATTATCTATAAAAAATTAGTTAAACAAATTACTGAAAAGATAAAATTTTTAAAAACTGATTGGAAAAAATATGGGAAAAAGGTATATTACGTTTTCTGGTCAGACTTCAAATTGTTAGTGTAAAATGGCAATAAACAATTAAACAAATCAGACAGGCTCACCTGTATACGCCAAATCCCATGCAAAATCGATGACCTGTAGCATCAAACTAACTATGCCATTCATAGCATAAGTGAAAAAATGTACCTGTATTTTTTCTTTTGCCATTTGTTTATAATGTTTTAAGTAAATTATAGAAGAGGTTTACGAATACCATCTTCAGAAGTTTACGAGTAAACGTTCTAACATGCAAAAAAAGCCCAGTGATCGATTATCCAATGAACGCAAACTAACACAAGGTTCACACAAGAAATGTTCATCAGCATTGTGTGTGACAAGAACTAAATTTTATTGCCAAATACGTACTATAGCCCTGTGTAAAAAACACCAAGATGAACACGTAAAAGAAACTGAATGAATATTCTTAGTGTTAAAAATTCAGTATAATTGTTTTACACTAACAATTCGAAGTCAGACCAGAAAACGTTATATACATTTTTCTCATATTTTTTCTCGTAGAATCGATTGCCGCAATCAGTTTTTTTAAATATTAATTTTTTGGGTAAAATACCTACCAACAAACAATAGACTAATATCTATGATCTCCAATGCTGCTAAGATTAAAAAAAATTCATTTATAAAAGACTTACAAAATTTATATACCATTGCAACTTAATATCAAGCAAACAATTTGGTTTCTAAAAAAATAATTAATAGTATAATAGTATTTAAAACTTTTTTATGATTAAAACAAATTACTTGTCTTTTAGTCATTACTAAAAATATATTTATAATACATTCTATCTGTATCAAAATAATAACGTAGCATATTGTTAATAAATCTGCTTATCAAATTTGCTATAGAGAACACTTATAATGTGACAATTTATACAAAGCATCTGAAATAACGTATAGCATCCATTTTTTTCATTGATTTCATTGCTTTCAAAAATTTCGAAACTATTTCAATAAAATATTTCAATCAGATTAGTATAAAAATGAGATATTTTAATGTCGTAGGAAATTGTAATAAAGTAATTATTATAATTTTTTTATTTTAAAAAGCCGAGAGTTTTTTAAAGACTATCAATAAAGTATTTGTGCTACTCAGTTTGTTAAAAGTTTTTTTAGGGCTAAAATATTGCTGTGATTTGATAAATGGTTTATTTGGTATCAATTCATACGCCATGAGTTTTTGTTTTTATTTAAATAGAAATTCTTTAATATATAGGCCGGGTTTATTTCGTACAGATACCGATTCTACATGACTTGATTCTGCATTAATTTTTAAATTTTACTTATTTAACATAAAGCTTTTTTAATTGGATACACAAAATAGTATTTAATAGAAAAGAAGAAAATATTGAATATGTAAACTTTCAAAACAAACCCGGTCAATATATATTTCATAAAAATGGAAAATGTCAAAATATAGTGTATTTTTATTAAAATAAGTAAATATTATAGTAAAATATCAATGATAATAATTTTATAAATAAATGTGTACGACGATTGAACTGATTCTAGTCAAGCACTAAATAATATATGCTTAACTTCAAAGCAAAATGATACCGTGGTTTGGCTTTGAAAACTTTAATGTACCACGTATATTCGATAAATATTATAAAATGAAAACAGAAGAAGAATTCAAATTTCTGACTGTACTTACTATAATTTATGAGCGTTAATTTGTAGAAAATTTCGATACGAGGTTTGTTATTTCGAATGAAAATGTAGGCGAGGAAAAATCATTGTTGCGACTGCTCCGATGCAACTGAGCAGATCGGAGTCGCACCCTAGGCATTTATACCTTCGGCTGCAGCTGCCGGGAAAGAATAAGGCAGATGCGTCTAACGTAAACCAGACATTTCCTTTGTACGTTTGATAGCCAAAATCTAAAGGTCGAATGATTTGAAGCTGCTACCGAACTTTTGAAATGCATACAAATTTCATACATTCAGGGTGGTCCCTTATTCATCGCCACGCTATGCCGAGAAAAAGTGAGAGAGAGAGAGAGAGAGAGAGAGACGGATAGAGAGAGAGAGAGAGAGAGAGAGAGAGAGAGAGAGAGAGACAGAGATTAGATTAGATTAGTTCATTTATTGCGCCAATGAGGTAGAACACCGTCCGTCAGTTTAGAAATGTACAAATCTAACATCACAAAATCTTATATAATTACATAAGAAGAAATATAAGAATAAATATAAGCACACTTAACTGGATAAGGGAACTAAATTTAAATGATTCGTGATTTATTTGACGATGAGTAGTGAGTTTACAAAGGACAGTAATGCTATGATGATTCAGGATATATATATAATATGTATGTATGTATGAAAATAAAATAAAATGGAATAAAATAAAAGATAGAAACACTATAAGGATAAAAATAAAAATAAAGACAAATATCAGATATAAATATAGAGGACAACGTATATAAGAATATGATTTAAAGCTTAAGGTGAGTATACTCCGCAAAAATGACTAGATATATAATAAACACGCTATTTTCATGAATAGAGAAAATTGAGTAAGATTTCTTTTCTTTGGTAATTATAATAAAAGTTTTATTTTTAATAATTTAAATATAATATGGCTAAGAAGGTACATTTGGTAAAAACTAGATAATGATATACTACACAAAACGAACTGTAAAAACGCGATGGCACCTAGTTTGGAGAGAGACAGAGAGAGAGAGAGAGAGAGAGAGAGAGAGAGAGACAAAGAGAGACACAGAGAAAGACAGAGAGAGAGAGAGGGAGAGAGAGAGGAAAGGACCCCGACTTTCGCGTTGTCGCTGTTCCGCGACTCCCAGGAGAGCTTTGGCGACTAGAGCTCGCCGCTGGTACGAAAGCGAGGAAAGGAACAGCTACCTGTGGATCTGATCAAAGTGCGAGTATACGGATTTCGTCGTCGAGGTCAAGTTTCCGACGCCGTAGTCGGTCTCAATTCGTCTCGCAAGTTTCTCCTTTTCCGCTTTTCTTTTCACCGACACACCGGTGATGCCGGCAACTCTATCGATTTCCTAGAACAGCTGCGTTTACACCTGGCCACGCTTGACAGCTGCTCCTAAACAAACCGTCCGCGCGGTTATTTAATCGATCGCCGCGACCTGCACTCTGCAAAACGAGCTGTATTTGCGAATCACACTACTGCGATCAGAATACAATTAATCAGAGATTTCCATTTGTACTCGAAAGTATCCTGCTGATCTAGAATAATCGAGTGCCTATACTTATACGAATTTTTTGTAAAATCCACTTACACATGTAGAAAAATTGTATAGCTTTAAACAATTTTTCAACTGATCGTTATGCTATGAAACACGTTTAACATAATCAACATAAGCGAACCTGTTGAATTTTCAAGTGCATTAGAGCCTGAAAGTTATTATAGATACAAATCGAATAACAAAAACTACTAGCTGATTGAATATAACGCACATATGTCTATTGACAGATAATTGGCAAAACAACCGTGAATGACGTATCGTATCTATACGAGTACGCAGAAAAAAAAATACATCATCTTCATGAATAATAGCGCGCGAATGACCTATTGTTTAAAAACCATTATTCACGCCAATTGCAAGTGCACCCGCGAGAAGGCGTTTCGAAGGAGACATTTGCCGCCATAAGCGGCTCCAATGATGTACGCGCGCGCGCAATAACGCCAAAAAGAACAGACGAACAAGCAGTATAGTATATACTCGCGTGGCATGTCGCGGACCTTTTGGAAGTGGATAATTCGCGTGACTGTCGCACGGCATAAGAAGCGGGTACATCCGCGACCATATAGTCATTCGGCTGCAGCGGCAAGCTTAAAACGAGGAACAGTCGCTAGCCACGGATAAACCAGGCAACATAATATTACGAGTCGTGCGCGCTCTCGGCACTCGCGGAGGCCCTAATATGCAAACCGCGCGGTGCACACACACACGCACACACACAGACACGGGCGCGCGCGCGCGCACACACCCAGCAGACCCCCAAAGAACATCATGACGCTTTGAGGGCTATTTCATCCCAATTCCGCATGCACGCTGCCCTCGGTATGCTAACAACACCGAGGGAGAGAGAGAGAGAGAGAGAGAGAGAGGGAGAGCGGCGGCTCATCATGGTCGTCGTGAAACGAGTAGAAAAAAAAAGCGCTGGCCGAGGGGAGCGGGACGCTCTCTCCTCGGGAGGCCTGCGCCTGAACTATTGTTTTGAGCGCGAGGCTCCCATGGCAACCGGTTCGCGACGGCAGCGTCGGTCCGCCCGCGCGAGCACGCGTGGCCCTTATCTCGTAATTTTCTCCGGGAGTAGGCGCGCCCGCGACGCTCAGGGTGGTCTCTCGTTCGCCTCCGCTCTCCGTTGAGAGAGTGAGCGGGAGAGAGAGACGGACAGACTTCTGTCCGAAAGAGAGAGGAAAGGAGCCCGGCCGGCGCGATGTCGCTGTTCCACACCAAGGAATGGTGGCGCACCGAGTGCGGCGACTCCCAGGAGAGCTTCGACGGCCAGAGCTTGCTGCTCGTGCGAGAGCTGTTCGGCAAGGAGCAGCTGCCCGCGGATCTCATCTGCGTGGCCAGCCACAGAGGCTACTTGAGGATCTACGCGCCTACCAGCCAGTGGGACGACGAGCTCCACGCGCCCACTGCCTACAAGTCTACGGATCTCGTGGTCGAGGTCAAGCTCGCCGACGCCATAGTCGATCTCAAGGCTGGCAAATTCGTCTCGTGAGTTTGAGCCTTTCCACTTTTCCGTATACCGCCGCGCTGTCGATGCGTCGAACGGCCGCGTGTGTTCCCAAACGAACTGTCCGAGCGGTTGGTCAATCGATCGCCGCGACTCGCACTCTGTGAATCGAGCTACAGCTGCGCGATCGGAACGGTTAGTCAGCGTAGATATCCGTTTATTAAAATCTAGTACCTACTTATACGAATTTTTTATAAAATCAATGGCTCGAGCTATAATCTCGTAGCGGGACCGTAATATCACCGTGAAAAATGAGATACATTTTAGCATCGACTGGCTCAACGCTTAGGGATTAACGGAGCTTTGATTTAATTTACAGAGGCTCGCAAGACACAAGACTGGCCATATTGACACCGACGAGATTAGCAATTTATTCGGCAACGTTAACGAAGGGCTCCACCGAACACGGTTGGTATGACCTACTCACTGCTAATCTCTAGCGCCGGCGTACCATAAGCGACGAGCGAGCGCGATTCAACGTGGACGCAGAGAATAACCGCGCACAGACTGCACAGACTGGATAAAACAGCGGCGAGGCTTTCCGCTTGTCATAAAGCCAAGGATTTGGCTGTCTCGCGGCGGCGACGGCGGCGGCGGCGGCGGCGGCGGCGGCGCACTCCAATTATTCGTTCAGCGATACTCGCGGCAAAGGAGTCTGCTTGGCAGCGGCGAAAAAAGTCATGAAATAGCGACGATCGAGGGCCCTTAGCTCGCCGGCAAAAAGTTAATCGCCGCGATATCAAGGCAACGGACGAAGGTGGGGCGCGTCTCTTTGTGCGTTGCGGTGGCAGAGCGGCGCCTCGCGCATCAAACGCGCGCCGTGCAAGCACGTAATAATACACGGTGCGAGCGCGCCGGCCAACAAGTGGAGAGGCGCAAGCCGCGCGGAGAGAGAGAAAGAGAGAGAGAGAGAGAGCGGTACGGGGGCCCCGCGTACGTCCGATTCTATCAGCGGCGCCAATCGCAATTTGCCCGAGTCTTCAATTAGCTCGATGAGTAGTGGCAAGCGCGCGAGCACTCGCAATTACCAGCGCCACGCGAGTTACATGCAGGGCCCGCGTACGTACGCGCTCTTTATGTGCTTACGCGCGGCAGAATGATCGACAGCCTGGAGCCGCGGCGGCGGCGGCGGCAGCGGCGGCGGCGGCGGCGGCGGCAGCGGCGACGGCGGCATCGCGTGTCCGTAACGCGCCACCCTGCCCATACGTACGTCCACCTGCCAGCCCGTACCTGTGCGCGTCTTCGTCAACGACGACGGCAACAGCAGCAGCAACAGCAGCAGCAACAACGATAACAGAGCCTCGGCGCTCCCCTTCGATCGCCACGGATCCGCGAGCGAGCCCCACTCGACGCGTACGCCAGACACGCACTTACCGCACTGACCGCCAGAGATAACTAACCCATATCAAGCCCGAGAGATGTAGATCATGGAGAAGGCGCCAAGCTGACGACGATTGCTCTCCTATCGTTTTTGCCTTTCTTGCGCGCACCTCCGTCACGGCGAACAACGGAAATCGCTCGCTCTGTTTATCGCGCGAGCGCCATTTCTGTACCTTGTTGTCTCTCTCCCTCTCTCTCTCCTCTCTCTCTCTCTCTCTCTCTCTCTCTCTCTCTCTCTCTCTCTCTCTCTCTCTATTTCCAATGCTGTTCCTCGAACAATTGCGAATTCAACGAGGAATTTATGCCTGCGTGATTGCAGCTCCGTGCGATATAATAAATTAACATCGGAAAGCTTTTATCCGTCGCTTTAGACGCGCACGCTGCTTACGCTCATGCTATCGTTGCAATTTCATCGGTGATTGAGAATCCATTATCTTTTAATGCTCTTTCTACATAATTACTATCGTATTTGATCAAAGGCTTCTCGTGCAAGGTTGAACGGAGAATTCACCGCGAGGGAAGTTGACTTTCGAATAGCGTATCGATAAAGGAGTCTCCTTCGTAAATATCTTTCCTTGCGCTTCCTTTCCTGGTCGTTCGTGAGCTCCACGGCATTTGCCACAGACCATAGCCGAGGAGAATTGTACTACATCTGTGCTTATTGTGTCAATTGTTCAGCAAGTTACTTTCCAATGTTTCCCTTTAATAGTTCGTCAGAAACATACCAAGAGAGCTTTCAAATAGAGAGCACGCTCAATTCATACGATTCGAAGCGTTTGTCGACTGAAGTATCATGTTTCAATTAGATCGCGTTCATTGCGAAAGACTCGTTTTTTCAATCCTTCCACAATCAATTCGTAAATCGCAATAGATGACAATTGCCAACAGAGATTTGTAGAAAAATTCTCTACTTTGTAATATCTTTAAGTTTACGTGTCTTGCATCGGTACCAGTGACAGCGTAATTCAAGTAACTGACCATTGTACTCGAAATAATATGACCTGCTCCGATAATGCAATTTTATTAGTTAGTTGGTGGTAAGCTCTATATCTTTCGCAAGAAGGTTTTGCAATATCTTTTGTACTTGATATCGACGTAGTAGTTTGAATGGGGTATATGTAATTTTTACCGACATACACACAAACACATAGAGACTGATTCTCTATTATTGTATGCAAAACTGCAAATTTATGTTCAGTTTTTCATCGAAAAATCGTATATAGAGATGACAATTCTCATATATTATCTCGTTTACATGCATAGAAAATAAAACATTTTTTTTTCGGCCGATTATAAAAAATAATTTGCCTTCGGATGTGCTCTGCGTCACAACTCAACATGCTTTTTCTATTTATATATTATTGATTGATTGTCATTCCTAATAAAGTGACAGCTTTAAGACTTGCGCGAGACTTCAATAGAAACTTGATCACTTGCAGACAAATTCTATGTCTTAACGGTTATAGTCACTATCTGGATAAAACGCAAGGTGAAGCGGCGCGCGGTTATTATGACTTGATTAGTTTGCAACGGTGCCATTTTTCAGAAAAAAAATTGACTGAGGTACGCTATTACTGGCAGTGAAATGCAAAAAGGGTATGCTTCTCGTAATTCTGGCCTTCGCATCAAAATCCATTCCATCGAGCTCTTTGAACACATAATTATAATCATTCAATGCGTCTTTGATTATATCGGAGCATTTTTATTACGTAATATTGTCAACGCTCCCCGATCTAGTGCATTTGAACTGATGATATTGGCAATACGTATAGTTCTCATCAAAATCAAATCTGAATTTCATCGAATTTCTCTTTCCTCGTCTGTTATAGTCCGAGAGAGAGAGAGAGAGAGAGAGAGAGAGAGAGAGATGTAGTAGCAGTATAGTTTTAGCCCGATACGGCGAGCGTCGACAAGCCTCGTAAATATCCGCGCTGTTCTGCCTCGCACGTATGTATATACATAACGTATGTGCCAGACGGGAATTAAAAGGCGATCACGAACAACTAGATGGATGGACGAGCCTTGAAAAGCACCGACTTGCCGGCGTACATTATCATCAACGCTCAATGCGTCCGATAATATGCAGCACGCCTTTAATTTGTGTCACGATGTTTCACGCGGTTTTTCCTACTGATCTTTATGGGGTGCTTTTCATGAATGATTGGCACACGTGTGTGCGCAACTCGGGACTTTTTTTCCGTTCGAGGTATCAACGATTTTGCGTAAAATGCGCCATGTAAATTTCATCGATATAAGCATTCAATTTGAAACAGTTGCATAAGTAGTCAAACACAAAAACTTGATTAGCCATTCGCGAAAGAGTGAGTAGCTTTAACGACTGCGACAAAAAAGAATGAAGTTACTACATTCTTTTAATTGTCATGTAGATGCAATCCGAGCCCATAAATTTCACGTGCAACGCGTAAACTAGTTTTATTTTTACATTATTTGCATATTAAATGCTATACGATACCTCATATAACTGCATCGAGAGTCACATGACTGTCACGCTAATATACGATTATCAATATCTTAGCAACGACTAAACATTAGGTGCGCGCGTGTGCGTTTGACAAATGGCGTCTGTTCGTCGCTATAAAGTCAACCATCAGCAAGACCGCTTGGAAGCGGTAACTAATTTCTCAGTCGCTACGCAAATAATCGTGCGTTTATTTTCATTGTTCTATACAAACGTGCACGGCGATCCCGGTCAGATTTTGCTTCGTGCAGTTGCCTAAAAATTACAACACAAGAGCGATAAGATAGCATTGAGATTGACTGATTTACCGTGACTGAGAATTTCAGAATCAATTAGCATTCAAACGCTCAGCTGGTCTAAAAAATCATTCTATTAATTCGTCATTGTGATTTATTTTCTCCGATAAAATATTGAAGCTCATTCGATTGTTCATTATAAGGCTAGTTCACGTTAAACCTAACTTTTTTATTAACCTGGCACAGAGGAATTTAAGTTTATATACAAATAGAAATAAATACTATTTGAATTTGTATTTATTAAATGTATATTATTAAAATGATGAAAAATGTAGAATTTATTGAAATAAGTAAGCAGTGTTGTACAGTATCCGTTTTTCGAAAGGTTTAGTTTTTATTAAGGATTATGAAAACTGATTATTCCGTAATATAGTCCAGGAGCAAGGTATGATTCTGTGTGCGTTAAGATGTTCAAGGAAAAAAAAGGCTAATCTACTTTGACACGTAGAATCATTAACTTTGGATCTATCCAATATTTTTCAAAGTATAGAAAACGTAATGATTCTTTGGAACTCCCTTTACAAAATGATATGGTTCAACGTTAGGCAGGTTCCGACGACCTTTTATCGCGACCGATGTACACATCGAGCTCTTAAACAACTGCAACCGCGGACTTTCACTTGCGCGAATCGTTAAATTGTCTTGTGAAAAAATACCAAAAACTTCATTTCTTCTAATATTAATCATTACTTGTCCGATGTCGGTGTTAATTAATTTAAGTAGCAATTTGTAAAGTGATAATAGTAATGATATCGAAGCTAATCAAAAGTTTTCATTCAGATTCACTCAAAAAAATTTCGATTCTACCGATATGAATATCATCGCACATGGAAGACACTACGTTCACAAGTAATGAAAACTCTCCATGGTATTCTTTTGTGCAATTCTATTCACATTTTCATCATTAATAGTTGAAAAATAGTTTTAAAGTCACTAAGTGCGTCTAGAGACAGCAACTTTTCTTTGTAACATCGCTAACCAAATATTCTCTCCTTCTACTTGACTAGACCGCATCTTTTCGCGAATTTTCTATTAACAACACAATCGTCTTCTTCATATTTTGAATGGACGGATAAACTAACGGAAGATTCCATTTGATTTGCAACATTTTAGTTTTACATCTTCAAAACATGTGTAAAGACGCAACGCACTGATTCTAGCCAGCACAAAAAATGTAAACAAGCTCTGGCTTATTAGCAGCATAGTGCGAATATTAAATATTTCAATTTCTATCATTATACGATTTTAAAACCAACATTCTTTGTAACATAATCCTCGAATATTCATGTGTTTATTTTCAAACGTTTGCTTTAGCACGAAAAATTAAATAATAAAATATATCACGCATTAATAATTCTTCAAAATTGTAACTCGTTTTGAGATTGATTTGGATTCACGTATAACTTAAAGTGAATTAACGACGAGCGCGCGAGCAAAAATCTGGCAGTTGCAGTTGTTTCAAAGTTCGCTTTGTGTACGTTGAAAACATGTCTATTGCCAATCGCGACAAAATTATTGTCGGGAACTGCGCTAACATCGAACTGTATTATTTAGTAGAGGAAATTTTAAAAAACCCATACATTTTTCTCATTTAAACCAATATTAACACTAAACCTACCAGAGCGGTCAAATGACCGTTCCTAAAGCCCGAAAAATAAATTTTTTCTCATTATTATATGATAATTATTTTGTGTTTATTATTTATGCTAAATTCTGTATTAATGGCAATCAGCTGAAAAAGACTATAATTGTTTATTTCAAAAGCGATTGTTTAACCGCCATTCGGTGAAATAGGTATATGTAATATGTCGGTAGGTTTAGTGTTAAATACATCAAAAGTTATTGACGCGTCGTAAATTTCAATTTTTCAATGTTTAAACGCGTATAACTTTTCTGAAATGCATTAAAGTTACCAAGGATGTTTTTCTTTTTAAAATAGGACAAAATTTGTAAAAAAAAAAGATCACATCTAAAAACGATTTTCTATAATTTTTTTCAAAATAATTGCGCTTTAAACAAAACGTACCACTTTTTCGTAAAACGCATATTAATTCAATGGGTTAAAATACATAAGATATCCCGTTTTTTCCTTGAACCCAGCTACCAAACTAATATCTATTCAGTGATATAAATATAAATATGCGATCCACAGAAACAGTACATAATTAACTTGTTGAAAGGACAGATATAGAATTTGGAGCTGAAGAATGAAAAGCTAAAAGAAAAAGAAAGCAATAAACTTTGTTGAATGTTGGTATAAATAAGTGAAAAACATGAAGTAGCACGGGTATTACGAAAAGAGCTATATATGACAGATATAAGAGATATAAGTCGAAGCAGCAATGCATCGTGTACAAAAGCGGTTGCGCCCTATGGGCACATTCGTCGTCAGAGCGCGGCTAATTCTGTTCCTCGATGATTGGCAAACCGCAAGTCATTCATCTTCAATTTCCAAACGGAACGAAGCCCTTGGAACATTTGGATTTCAATTACAGGCGATCGATGCAGCCTGCAGATGGCCTACGAGCACCAGCTGAAATGCTTTCCAGCGTCGCTGACGATCGGCCCGTTCGGCGGCGCCCGGGGCCGTGATTTTCTCTGTGTGCAATGCCTCGACGGCACTCTCCTCTTCTACGAACAGGAGGTTTTCGCGTTCAGCCGTGTCTTGAAGGACAGATTATTGCCGGAGCCCCTCGTCTACGTCGCGCGGAACGACGTGTTCGTTACGCTTGGTCCCGGCTGGGTTCTCGAGTGCTACAGGTAATTCTGGCTTATTTTTTCGGCTCGTCATTAGGAAAATCGTCGCTGCGTTCGTTGCACCAGGCATCAACGGCATTCTCACGGTCGCTGTTCCCCCACCGCCATAGCTGCATCGCATTAGCGCAGAAAAACAAATCGAACGATCAGCACACGGCAAGTATACTCGTCGCAGTGTTAAAAATTGCAAGTATGTGCTTTGTACTTGCCATCGCGCGCACGAAAAAGAAAAAAAAAAGAGAGAATAATCACAGCTCGCGCGGCTTGTTTGAGAAGTCTCAAGAGAGGAACGCAATTCGCGCGAAAGCTTCCTCGTATATAGGTATTAACGCATGTAACGTCATCGTTTCGCTGCAGAACGCGCGGCTGCTAAATATTTGCACTCATCTCGACATTCGCGGCCACGAGCAATTACTCCGTCGGCATAATTATCATCGGTATACAAACTGTGAAAAGACAAAGTAAACCATTGCGCGTTTTATTATTTTTTTTTTTTTGCGGAAATCTTAACGAGCCTCACAGCTCATGCGTATACCGATCAACAGGAAATAGTTGTGTGTATGTGTGTTCGTGAACACTACTTTTTTTTCGTATCGATGTCAAAGCGATTAATCTAATTTCCGTATATTTTTATTGGATTTTATTATCGGCGTAACATTACATTACCGGAAAGTAAATAATTAGTTTTACAGCAGCAAACAAATATGACGCAGGTACCAAAATATGGCCGAGGTGGGTAAGAAAGGGGAAGCCGAGGATGCGAAGGTGAAGAAAGGCGTCGTACCCGATTGGAGTTACAACATTGGCGAACCGATCCTGGGTATTCAAACCGTTGTGCTAAGCAGCTTCGAGGTCGGAATCGTCATACTGGGCGAAAGAACGTTATTTTGCCTTGGCGACGCTTGCACTTCCATCAAAACGGCCAAGCGCCTGGAGTACGGTGCATTGTGCTTCGTCGCTTATGTTATCGGTAGGTGTTTCGATTTTTTTGTTTTTTTCTTTGGTAACGCCGCATCGGCCAACTCGAATTTCGTTAATTAAAATCTCGCGAGCGCGAAAAAAATGTTTGAACGCGCACGCGCGCGCAAAAACAGCATTTACGAGCGCGCGTCTCGATCGGCGCTCATTAGGGTGAGGACTTTTATGACAGATCGTTTACCGCCGCATGCGCAAAGCTTGCCAAGCACGAAACGCGGATAGCCTTAAGGGATGCTGGTTTCTCTTGTCTTTTGTTTGGTATATATTTTTCCTCGAAGCCGCGCGGCGGCGACTTATGCGTCTTAATTAAGCCGAGCGCAGAAAGGGCGCGCATGTAAGCGAGAGGCTGCAAGAGAGCGCGGCAAAAAAGGACATCACCTGTGCTCGTGCTAGCGGTAGGTCTAGGGATCCACTTGAAACACACAGACGGGCGCGCGCGCGGAGAGGAAAAACATCGTGACATTTACCGTGCAAACAAACGAGAAAAAGAAGCAGTAAAAGTGAAGAGCGGAAGGGTTCTTCTTTTCTTTTATTTTTTTTTGTTTTGTAAAAAGCGAATGGGGCAAACCGAACGGCTTGTTTGCGTATTGTTGCGTATTGTTGGAGTCTGCAACAGCATCGTTATAACCGTAAATCACGCGGCTGATTTTCGCAGAGCCGGACGGCAAGCTGATGGTGATCGTGATCGCCGATACGAGTACTCTGATGATTTACGAAGGCACGACCCTTAAGTGGTCGGCCAAGCTACCTTTCGCTCCAGTAGCCGTGGCAAGGGCTCACTTTCAGGTACCTTCGATTTATACATAATACATGTCCATGCTAGTTCCCCATGACAGCCGCTAGAAAGTCGATTCTTATCTGCGCGCGCTTTTCCCCACTAATGGCTTTTGCTCGTTGTGAATCTTCGCGCAGCGGCTGTAGACCTTCTTCGTTGAAACTGCACAAAAGAGCTCCACACAGAGAAACTTTTCCTGTTCGTCCGGCGGAATGTTCGGACTGACAGGTCGTCTTCTTTCGCTTTTCTCTCCCGCAGAAGATTTCTTTTTTTTTTATTCTTCTGAAGACTAGTTCCAGTTTGACCTCGGTCACTAAAACAAAATGGTCGACTCGTTTGTTTTTTTTTCCCGGTTGCGCAATTAAACAATCGACTTTCAGTTAGATGTGACCTTTCCTCGCGGCTTGCCGCGCTATCAAACTTCCTTTTCCGCGTTCGCAGTCGAAGATCGCGCGCGCACGCGCAACGTACGAGTGTCAATGCCACAGTCTTATTATCATTTTATACGCATGTGCGCGCACACGTGTCCCACGCGTGGTTGCAGATGTTAGATTCGCGCGATGCTGATGTTCGTGCGATCTACTTGTAATTCCGTTGAAACGACGTGTGCAGTCGAAAGACTTACAAATCAAAACATTCATTTCGCTACGTATGAATGGAGTGTTTTTTTTTTTTCCCCTTTATCGCGAATGATGAGTCGAATGAAAGTATCTTATTTTCATTCGAACACGTTCATTCATTAAAAATACTACGTGTTATTTCGTGCGAACGTTTGTGCAAGTGCCGATATTGTAACTTGTCACGTTTCTTTTCGTACGTTATCGATTTTGTAAATTATCGGATAAGCAAATACATTTTTTTTTCAACAAGTCAATTATGTGAAATTGAAAATTTCTTTCGATAAAAGAAATGTCTGAAGCTTTTATTTGAACGCAAAAAACAAAAACAAAAAGAACTTGGAAGGCGCGATTGTCGTGCTATCGGAAGAGGGTCGACTGGAGGTCTGCTATCTCGGATCGGAGCCGTCGCTTTTCGTTGCCCCGCCGATACACCGACGAGGATACGATTACGCCGCCGCCGAGAAGGAGCTGCTCGATCTGCGCCAACTTCTAAAGAAGTCGTCGTCGTCAGGTAAGTATGAGACTACCGCGGCAGCGTATCCTCTCGTAATTGAGTGGAGTATCATGTTTTATGGAAGCGGCGACGGCAGCAGGTTCCTTCATTATTGATGCTTTCAATTTGCGAACCTCCACGTTTAATTGACTCCTCATTTCGACGATCGTCAATCAATTAGCTATCGCCGCGGTTCCGCACAATTAGCTTCGACTCTTCCTCTTCGTTCCCGTTGGATCGAGAATGATTTGCATTTCGAGTCGAATTAATTGTCAACGATCGATTAATTTTTTCATTCGAATTGTCAAGGCTCTTGCTATTTCACGGGACGCGCGTTCAATGAGAGACGAGAAAAAAGAGGTCGATAAAAGCCAATGAATTATCGTTGTGTAAGCAGACGATCAAGTGTCGAACGCAATGTTGGAAGCGGAACTGTCGATAAACGCAACGGTGTCCCCGGAGCTACTGCCTTCGCCGTACGTGTCGTTGCACACCGACGTTGACAAAGAGGAAGACAAAGCAGCCAAACAGTCATCCATGTGCAAGATCGAGATCGAGCTTACGTCGTACACCACCCTGCGCGACGTGCAGGTCATTCTTCAGACTTCCGAGCCGCTTGTCATTTCCAAGGACTACCTTTCTCTAACCAATTTGTGTAAGATACCAATGTGTTTCAGTGGGATCTCGTGGTCTATTTTCAAAATCTTCCGATCGTTCTCGGATTGGTATCGGGCAATTGACGCAAACTTACTTGACGCGAATCACATTTAAAGAGAGATGTGCACGTACGAGAATCTCGATTAATTGGAAAAAAAAAAAAAAAAAAAAAAAAAAAAAAGTCTATAAATGACGAAATGTTAAAGTAAAACGAACGTCATTGAAATTGAAATCGTATCGAGTCGAAGAAAAAATCCAGTGCAATATTTTCACGTCGTTTGGTGAAGCTCGAACGGATAGGCAATTCGGCGAATAAAAGCTTGGATTTTTCGAAACAGGTGAAAAGTACACGATGGAAACCACAGTCTACCTGGGCGATGATCAGATATTGCCGATAGATTCGGAAGTCGAAATCGTGGCTACGTACGAGAATGATTCCGGCGAGCTGCGCGTGGTGGACAAGACGGTTCAGATACCGTTGAAAATGCTATTGCGACCAAGTCCACCGGAGAGCACCGCCGCGTTCTCCGTGACAATCAAGAGCGCAGAGCCAGTGTTAAACTTCAGCCAAATCTTCCCAGGTATACACCCACCGTGGGAGATTGATCGGACGCCTTTTTTTATGTCGCGAGTGCGTTTCTGCCTGATTTATCGGCGCCGGTCGACTAGATGGGCGAGACGAGCAGGAAATGGCAATGGTTCGAGGCTTTGCCTCCCGACTCGTCCACCCATTCGTCTGGCCACCATACATTTGGGTTATTAATTGATATGTGGGAGCAGGTGCGTCTATCTGAACACTTCGCGGGAGGTCTTGCATGATTATTGACTGTGGGAAATATTTCGCTACTCAAGGCTTTTTCTTTCTAACCGTTTGACGGGTGTGAATTTCTACTTGTCGAAGAGAGCAACTTTAAATAGCAATCAGGCGATTACTTAAAAACGGCACAAGGTATCGAGTGGAATAATGCCCATAGACAAAAAGACCAGTAGCTCCTTGGTTTTTTTACGAACGGAATACCGTGGAATAAAAAACGCCGATTAACCGAGGCAGTAAAAGAGAAACGCGAATTGACATGCGCGCGCAAGACTGCCAATTGAATTAGCCGTGTCCAATTGGAAATACGGCGCACATCTCGCCGCTTCGGTATAATTTTGAACGTTCTTTTTTGTTCTTTAATTTTTACAACCGCTCGCTTCTTCCTCGCATTGACTTGCATAAACGGGATTTTATGCTCAGCAATAAAAAATAGTAAAAACGCTGCCAGTACTTATTTGAGCGGAGTAAAAACAGAGGTAAATGAAAGACTTCGGTACACGAAGTTTTTTGCAATTGCGCGGTCGTTAAATAATTGGATCGATGATTGAATAAGCACTTTTGTCTAGTTTCACGTGTCATTTATTGCGCAGCTTTATTATTGAATTCAGACGATAACGATAGGAAATATTGCATTATTACATAATTTATTAATACGAATCACGTATTAATTATTACTTTCGATTACTTATCGTCACGAATACAAACTAACTTACTAGCGTCGTAAAGATACGACGGCGACTAATCGGTTATTTTCCAAGCTCGTAGTAATACAACTTGAAACTCTACACCGAGAAGAAAGATCGTGAAGCTACACTTGATAGCGGAAAATTTTCTCCAAGAGACGCATTCCGTTGATTGACTGTAACTGTTCGACATCATTTGTCATCAAAACAAATCTTAATAGACTCGGCTGGCAGTAATAAACGTATAACACACTTACATATATTAAATGAAAAGAGTTATTCGTCGACTCGCATTCGTTGATTCGCATTGAGTGCGCATATGCCAACGCGAATAATCAGCAGCGTTGTCAAAGGAATATTGTTTTTTCAGTTCAAACCTATCGGCTCGCGCTTACCATTAGCCTCCATTATTTTGCTTGCATCATTTCGCAGCTGCAGCGTTACAGCGAATGGTCTTTTTAAGGTCGCATTACTCGCTAAAATGTCGATCGGCTCTAATTCGCTTGCCATATAGGCAGCGAGCGGCGACCAATTGTTCTCCATGCAGCGAAAGCGAGAGAAAAGAAAGACGATGTGCCGTTTTCGTTGACAGAGTTCATCGGCGAATACTCGGTTCGGCAAGCGGCGAACTCGCTGGGTCTGCAGCACGCACTCGATCCACAGTCCGTGGTCACGATAGCGTCGGGCTTGATGCTCAACCGGTATCGCGTCCAAGCGAACGACGCCAACGCTATGACGCTCGTGCTGCATCAGCTGATCGGCAGGCTCAAGGATAAGGCTCCGAAGCTCGCCGAAAATTTGTCCTGCACCATTGCTCAGCAGCATCTTCAGCTTGTCCAGGACAAGATCGACGTTCATTTCGATGCCAGGTTGAAAATGAAGGCCGCTACCGTAAGACCGTGTTTCATTCATGTTCTCCTTGAGCGCGCTTCCACGGTTATCTTCGTCGCTGTTCGAGCTTTTTATCTTACGAAAGCTTTGATGCGCGGCATGCCGATCGATTCAAATACATTGCGCATTCGTTGCTTTTAAACAAATTACGTGGAAAACAGTCGAGTATAAATCATTTCAAGTCAATGCGACATTATTTGTTTGATTGATAATCGTCGATTGCACAATAATATTGCAGCTCTTATCAGCGCGTTATCGGGCTTGCGCAAAGATCACAATTTGGAGTACCGATATATCTTATATACTTGGAATAAATCTCATCAGCGCTGAAGAGAATTTAATGAGTTGCCACGGCTGAACAATTCTGGAGAGGTGTTGAGTTGATCATTAACAATGGAAATTATGAATACGAAGATAAAGTTCAAGATTATAGGGAGAACAGAGAAAATGAAATGGTCAGGCACAGTTTAACGGCTCGATGGATTTAGAAAAAGAAAAAGCGGTCACCTACTTGGTGTGCTGCCCATTGTCTACTGCTAAACATCTGACAAGCTGCTACGTCATGAAATTCGAAACGGTTACTGAATTCAAATAAAAGTCATTGAATAATTATTTATGAAGTAGTACGATGACGTAATGCCGAACGTTTAAAGTTATATTATTTGATTGTTTTATGCATGTAGCTGTATTTGAGAATTTTCAATTTGGCTTATAACAGGTTTCGACTTGATTCAAGCATAAACTGCACGTAGAAATTATGCGTTTAACCAGAAGAAACGAGCGCGCTCGACGAGAGCAGCGAGTTGAGAGACACGTGATCACTGAATTATCGTGGATTCGGGGTTGTTGTCGTTGCAGAAGGAGATTGGTCTGCTGACGAGCCAGTTGCGATGCATCGAGAGGAGAATGTTGCGCGGCATGAAGGAGAGGAATTCCCGATCGCTCGCCGCCACCGGACTACCGACCCTCCTCGAGTCCACGTATCGCGCGATCTTCGCGCTACTCGACGATCTTGAGGCCGCCCGTGCGGTAATTGCTCCTTTTATGCGCTTACCTTGTATTGTACTCGGTCTCTCTGTCGGGCACATACGTGCACCGAGCAGCGGTAGCTGTCGCGCTCTCTCTCTCTCTCTCTCTAACAATGCCGCGCCGGGAATGTCGATCTCCGCGTGCCTTTGTTTTCCGCGAGCGCGCAACGACGCTCCGTCTGGATGCGCAGTGCGCGGCCGCCTTCCATCTGCCCCTTGCGATTAAGCGCCCGGAATTTCGAGCATTCCTTTTGCCGCGCTAAGAGTCCGAATCGCGTTCGCTTTCTCATATTACGGAGCGAAAAGAAAGGGAGAGGAAAAGAAGGGGAAAAAAGATGAAAAAGCGCTTAATCGCGGCGTCGGCTCCGATTCGTAGCAAATTCAGTCATTAAGCCAGCTGAAAAGTTCGCAGCGACTCTTGTACGCGCGTAGCGGCGCGAAAATCAATGTAGCCAGCGAAATTCGCGATCATTATGTGCGTGGCCGGCGTGGAATTATCGTAGCGCTCGATTATGCAAAACGAGTTTCTCGAGCGGCCGCCGCCGTCGTCGCGGATGTAAAGGCACGCGGCTGCCTCGGGTTTTCGGTGGCGGCGCGCCCGAGCACCGAAATTTAGCGATTATCAGCTAATGGATCCCCGCATTAAAGCGCGAACGCGCGAGCGTCCGAGCGCCCGTGCTCTCGGCATTGAACGACTTAATGAGCTTATCGGGCCGTGCGTTCCGCATCAATGAAGCCGACCGGCAGCGCGTCGATTAATCGGCAGCGGCGTACCGGCGGCTGCGTCGCCGCGCACATTTGGACGCGCGCAAGCCGACCACCCTCGTATTCATTGGTTTGTCGATGCCACAGGAAAGAGAACGAGCCTTTCAGAGTCTGCGGAACTCGCTGAGGCTGCTGCGGCTGATGCTGCAGCTCACTGTCAGCGAGGACAAGTGCGAGCTCTTCGAGTCGGCGTTTGTGTTCAAGCCTCAGCTCCGAGACGAAGTCGTACGTATACGCGTGCTTGCTTTTCCCTCTCTCGCCTTTCATTTGCGTTTGGCCCTTTGCCGGCCTGCTGTATTATGCGTATCTCGTTGCTTTCAATCTCATCGCCTGTAAACTGAATTTTTGCATTTTTCTGAAAACGACACCTCCTTTTCGACACTCGGCGCTTCGCTCATTTTCCGCACGCTTTAACTCTGCTTTTGTTACACGAGGTCTTGTACTAGTCGCGTGGAAACAGTCTTGTGATCGCCTTTTCAGCGAACATGAAAATCAAGTAGAAAGCTACGTGATACCTTGCCCGCGAAATTCAACGCGTGAATTTTCATGCCGCAATCGGAAAACATTTCACGCGATATGCGTCACGGCGAGTTAACGAAAGCTACTTCTGCTACCTTGCCGGAGAATTTGCCAACTTTCGTTTGCGCAGTTTTTTGATTCCCGGATATAATCAAGTTGTTACGTAACATGCAATATTTTCAATGTTAATCAAAACTGTAAAAAGTACGAAGATACAATTAAAATTGAATTCATGCAAGCACAAATCGGTCCTTTAAATAGTATTTAAATCTTATCGTTTATCTAAGAAAAGAACAAATCGATGGCTCAACATTCCAGAGATATCAACTTATTTTATTTTAAATTATCATGTCTCCAACTGAGTCGTAATCGATCTATAAAATAATAAAGTAACGTATTTTAGTCATCTTTTAACTGTGTACGGACGTGTATCACTTGCGTTATGAGTCATTATTTAAATTCATAAAAAAATTTTCGACATGGCTGTAGCTATGATTTTCTTGTGCTGCTGAGTTTGTGGCTTGTTCACTCGATTCATGTAATATTTTATCGTACAAGACCCCATCTGCAATGTGAAAACACTTGCGTGCATCAAGTATTCGCCTTGATTAATATATATTTGACGGCAAATGCGAAAGCTATTACATGGAAATGCTACGCAATCGTGAAAAAATATTGTTCGTGCCTTATTTCGAAAATCCGAGCAACGATGGCCAGTAATAACTTTCGGAAGCAATGAGAAAGCATCCTCGCAAGTGCATGAAATTTGCCTTACTTTCCGTGTCCTGCATAGCGCGCGCGTCTCAACCGCACGATGTGTGTCCTCTTCCTCGTTTTCTCGCGACAGCCCGTGATTTTTGCTAATCTCAGCGTGGTCGATTCGTTTTAATCGCGCCGCCACCCATCTTACCTTTTTACCCGTCGCAAGGGAATTACCATATAATGAAGGAAAAAAGTCAACTCGTTAATTAAGGGCTCTCTTGGGTTCTCCCTCTCTCTCTCTCTCTCTTTACGGCTTGTTGAGAGCTTATTACGTTTCCATTGCTTTTGCAAGTGTCGCAAAACATTTGTTGATCGGCCACTCTCTCTGTCGGCGACGGATCATTAGGCAGCTTTTACGAGCTACACCGCGTCGTTCATAGAAATTGACTTGCACTTGATGGGACTGTACAGAAAAAACTACTAGTCTGCGAACTTGGCTTTGACTTGCTGTCCACGTCGAAGATCTTAATTGTAAATTAATTGTGAGCACACGTTTTGGGCACTTTTTTCTTTCATCGCACAACAAAGGCACGAGAAGAAAAGAGCGCACGGCTCAATGAAAAAAAAAAATCGGTCGTTAAATTAAGGCGAATCCAGATATACTTGGAAGCCTGCGGTGATTGCAATCATGCCAGTGGATCGAGCGAATTAAAACGTCATTACGTTACCATGCGATAACATCTTTTGTACGCGCGTGTAAGCAGAACGAGAGGGGGGGGGGGAGAAGGGGGAGGGAGACGATGGATAGAGCAAAGGAAAAAGAGAAGAGATAAGCTGGAGTTGATATTGCAGGACTGGGAGGAGGTGACGGACATGGCGCTGATCGGATTGACGCGCCTGATATCTCAGGGCGCCGAGTCACATCAGCGACATCAGCCGAGTAACTGGAACAGGTTCGAAACTCCGCGCGATTTGGCCAAATTGAAAAAGCGCCTCGCGCACACCCTGGAAAAGCTGCAGGCGAGCGGCAGCGGCAGCTGCGGCGGCGGCGGCGGCGCCCCCTCGATCAAGGAATCGCTCGCCGAGGATTCAGCGGCAGCCGCCGCAACCGCCTCTTAAATCGATCCGTCACGAGCGACCTTCGCTTCTTTTTGCTCGCGCTGTACAAGCTCTATATAAACTTGCACTTGCCCCTTGCCGGAGAATCGGAGTGCCAATTATTTTACCTGCTGCTCCGAGCGCGTGCGCGCGCAATGTTTGCGACGTGACCGGTAACGCGCCTTTTCTTTATTTCGCTTCCTTGCTTCGCCACGCTATCTGGAAAAACTCGTATTAATTGCGATTTATGCGCGCTATCTTGTACAGCCGACGAAATCTCGCAAACATTGTTTTGGCTTTGTTTCAGTTGTATTCTCCGGCACTACACCGCTTGCACATTAAATGGCGCAATTTAATCAAACGACATATTTCAGCAAGTGTTTTTTCGGTCGATCGGAAAGAAAGAAAAGGAAAAATCGTCGCGTTAGGCATGGCGGAGAGAGTGAAAAACGCGAGAAAAATGGGAGCGAAATTACGACAGAGGGAGCAGACGAACGCGCGCGCGACATATCGACGGGAGTGAAATTGCGCCGAGGCCGAAGGATAAATATTATTGTACACGAGGTGCAGTCAGAGATGCAGTCGACCGAGCGATCGGATGATAACCTGCGCACTCGCATGAATCGCGGAGCGTGTGTTTCGTTCGCACAATTGAAATTTCAACAACGAGCGAAGCCGCGCAACAATGCATTTATGATTTACAAGCCACTTGGCGCGCGCAGCACTCGAACGTGAGAAAAGTCGCGCGCTCGCGGCGATAATCCGCGTATCCTTCCTCCGTCGAGCGATCGCGCGCGAATAGCAAACAAAGATTTACGTAATGGCGAGCAGTCGTATCGAGGGAAAGGCCAGTGCGGCAGAGACGTCTATAGATAGGCACCGCCTCTCTCGAGCCAGGCGCGAAAGGAAAAACCTCGCCGAGGAGAGAAAAATCCAATCGAGCGGAGTGGAGCGAGCGCGCCTGGCGCGTGGGCAGCCGAGGAAAAAGAGAAGTAGAGGAAGACGAAGAAGAAGAAGAAAAAGAGAGCGCGACGATCCGCGTGTGCGCGCGTCTTCGCCGCGCGGCGCCAACGGTTGCGCAGACGGAGGGCATGAAAAAGATATAGCGACGTGCTCGCTCCAAATTAGATGTGTGCCGATGAGTGAGAGCGCATATACATACATATGCGTGCTCGCCGGCGCGCTGCCAGATACGCAAGCTTGGCCGAGGATAAATGCGCAGGAGCCCGAGAGACAGATATCGATTGCGCGTCTACGGCATTAGAGCCGCGCGCGCGCGCGCGAACAATCCTCTCGTGTATGCGTGCGTCTCCCTGTATTTGTCAATAAAACTTGACGCGCTTGCCATTTCTTACAACTGCCACGCGTTTGTTTATTCCTTCTACCCCTCCACATTACCATTTCCAGCATCTGAAATAATGTAACGAGAGGCCCGCAAGAGACGCATATGCAAATTGTGCATCGCCTGATGGATGAATTGATACGTCCGATGATCGAGACCGATGCGTTATTGTTCGGCTAAACGATTCTGTTTCTTTGAAAGCTCGGCCAATTATTCTTGCTGGCTCGATGAAGGAAGTGAATTTTCGATAAGAGCAGACGTAAAGTTTAACGAGCAAGAAAACGACCGCGTCGATGAGAAAAAACATTCAACATTTATCACGCTATCAACAAACGGATCGATCAATCCGTCGTTTGACGCGACTTGGGACATCATCTTGCCGCTGTTTTTTTTTTTTTTTTTTGCCACCGGCAAATTAATTTGCAATGGCGAATATGTATTTTCTTTGTGGGTCGTGCACGCGAGAGAAACGTCATCGTTGCAACTGCCACCGACTAACGAGAAAAAGCACAGGGGCTTTTTTATGCGAATGCACGTATCTATGTGCTTTTGCATATGAGAAAATTGCCTCATGTTGCTCGACTTCGGTTCACTTCGTCTTTTTTTTTTCGCAGTTTCTTGTTTCCTTAACGAGCTGCCAGATCGATTAGAGTGGCAACTTGTTAGCACGTTATTAAAATCGGCGCCTCATTTTAAATTCAAAAATATATCGTTTATATTGTTTTTTATTATTGTCAATTAAGCATGTGCACCGAAATATCGTTCGAGTTCTTCCACCTCGATGTTCATTATTCCCAATATTTCATGATGCTGCGTATATAAATCTATAATGCAAGAGTACTTCAAATTTCTTCTTGTTAGATTCATACTTGTAATTTAACTCTGTTCGCTACTAATTATCACGATCCATTTCAACTGGCAACTACACGGTTTCAATTGATTATTCTACATGTGAAAACAGATCTTTCTGAAGTCAAAATATTTTGTTATTGACTTTTTCAACTCCAGCGAATGCAAATAAAGCAGTGTTAACTTTACTTTTCTGTTTGTAAACTGTAACCAACTGAGTAAATGAATACTAAATCATTATCATATCTGTTATTGAATAATCGAAAATATTAAATTTGATATTCCCGAGGTCATGAAAAACGTTTACATTTCAAAAGTTTACGCTCAGGTCTTAAACGAGAAAAAAGATAGTTCCGAGAATTGTTTATAATATTTTTTTACAAAAACCATCATGTTTCGCTCTAAAGAGACGTCGCAGACTACATTTCCGGTGAGTGAGTCGTTGTTATTCATGATTCGCAACTCTGTCTTCATAAGCTTATATGCGTTCTCAGAATCATTAAATGACTGGCGTCTGTAAAAATCTACGCTATTCATTTTTTTTCTGCTGCTGCCATTAAAAGTACAATTCGAGTTATGTCAATATGCTTGCGAGGAGGTTAAAAAAAAGAGACATTACAACTTGACATGTTTCCTGTTTCCAATCGGTCGGCGTGACTCAGAGTGCTGCGTTCAGGTTAAACGCTTGTCATGTACGAAAGTTCCTCGTAATGAG